TTACTAGGATTACATTCATCCAATGCTTAAGTCTTGCCAATTTTACTTAGTAATTCTTCCTTAAATAAATCACCTTTTTTGGGTGGCGCCTGTGGCTCAGTGGGTAGGGCACCGGCCCCATATACTGAGGGTGGTGGGTTCGAACCCAGCTCCAGCCAAACTGCAACAACAACAAAATAGCTGGGCGTTGTGGTAGGCACCTGTAGTCCCAGCTAGTTGGGAGGCTGAGGCAAGACAATCACCTAAGCCTAGGAGTTGGAGGTTGCTGTGAGCTGTGATGCTAGGGCACGCCACCAAAGGTGATAAAGTGAGACTCTATCTCAAAAAAAAAAAAAAAAAAAAAGTGAGATAGCGCCTCAAGCTGTCACCCTGGGTACAGTGCCATGGCATCACAGCTCACAGCAACCTCCAACTCCTGGGCTCAAGAGATTCTCCTGCCTCCGCCTTCCAAGTAACTGGGACTACAGGCGCTCACCACAATGCCCGACTATTTTTTGGTTGTAGCCATCATTATTGTCTGGCGGGCCTGGGCTGGATTCGAACCTGCCAGCTCAGGTGTATGTGGCTGGCACCTTAGTTGCTTGAGCCACAGGTGCCAAGCCAAAAAAAAAAATCACCTTTTAAAAAATAACTTCTTCCCTGGCCTTAAGCTCTGCACCACCTTTTAGACACTTGCCATAGTCTCCTGTCTTCCTAACTTTCTCCAGGGTTACTCCCTGCCATCTGTCTGGCCTCCCTGGCAGGCAGACTCCATGCAAGAAATGTAAATATTCTATCACGGTGGCACAGCCTGCCTGCAGGATGGAGTTGAATTGCCCTCCTCCATCAGGTCCCTGTGAACCTGTCTCCCGTCTTCACCCACCCTATGCCACATCAAATCACTCACTGCCTCCCACACACCCTGCAGCAGCTCTTGCTTCTGTCCCCTCTGCAGAAGTGGCCCACTCTCCCCCACTCTCATCTACCTACTACACAGACGCTTCCTGGGCAGCTGGGGCAGGAAAGCTGGCACCCTCCCCAGGTCTCCCCGGCCTCCAGAGCTGGGCTCACCGTCGCCCATCTGTACTGCAGGCACAGACCTACCACATGCATGTCTCCAGCACGGGAGGGAGATGCAGAATTACGAAACACACTCCGTCCTGGAGCATGAAGCCAGCACGGTCCTCCTAGGACATTGTAGGTGCTCAGTAAAATGCTGGCTCATCAAATGAAGGACCGGCCACTCGGGATTTTCCACCTCCTCATATGTCAAAAATGCTCTTAGGCTTCCAAACAACAGGGCCTTTTTAAGAATGTTGCTTAAGGAAAATGAGAGGCAGAAGTTGTCTAGGAAAATGGAAATCTTAGTGAGGTGCTTCCTTCTTCAAAGAAGTGTGAGAGAAAGCGCAGGGTCACCCCTCCTCTGTGTCAGGCCACCTCTACTGTCTGTGACTGTCAGCAGCGCGTCAGAATTTAGAGATGACGTAATGTTAACTTTCCCAGTGGACTTTTTCCTAACTTTCCTGACATCAGAGCTGCTAAACTCCAAAACTCCTATTAAGAATGTCTGAGATTGGGTGGCACCTGTGGCTCAGTGGGTAGGGCACCGGCCCCATATACTGAGGGTGGCAGGTTCAAACCCGGCCCTGGCCAAACTACAACAAAAAAATAACCGGGCGTTGTAGCAAGTGCCTGTAGTCCCAGGTACTTGGGAGGCTGAGGCAAGAGAATCGCCTAAGCCCAAGAGCTGGAAGTTGCTGTGAGCTGTCACAACACTCTACCAAGGGTGACAAAATGAAACTCTGTCTCTAAAAAAAAAACAAAACCCAGAATGTCTGAGATTATCTCATAGTAGGAATATAAGACAATCAACTTTTGGAGGATTTTTTTAAAAACAGCTTAATGACTGAACTTTAAACTACAGGGGGAGATAGAATTATCTAATGCCTGGGTTCCATCCCAGATATTCTGAGTTAAGTGGTTTGGGGTGGGACCCATGCAGAAAAAAATTTTATAAGTCCACCAGATAATTCTAAAGAATACTAGATAATTCTAAATGCCCTAGCAAAGGTCAAGATCTACTTTTATGAAATCCTAAATTAGTTCCTTTATTTACCAATTTTCTCATCTATAAAATGGTGGCAATTACACTTAGATTTATGGATAAATTGAACACCTTTCTGAAAGTAAAATGCATAAATAAATGTGCATCAGATTTCTTTCTACTATTCTCAATAACTTGGGTCATCTTAAAAGTAAAGTGTGGCTTGTAAAATCTATCGGGTCAATAAGCATTACTGTCCACATAAGATACAGACATTTAAAGTCCATTAGAGAAGAATTTAAAACAAGATCACAAGAAAAACAACTCAAAATAAATCCCTAAACCATAATCTTAATAACCCACAATCAAGTGAATGCTAAAATCAAGGTGTGATTCCAGAAGATAACTGAGAATAATCCTCAATCCATTACACAAAGCTGCAGGTCCTCTGAATAAAATTCTGATCTGTAGACACAGCATGTTTGTCTCTAACCATGAAACAGAAAAGAAGAGGGATCTCAGGACAGTGCTGGCCTGTAACATGTGCGTGCATCGTAACGGGACCCGAGGGAGATGTAAAGGGACTAGGACCACGCAAATCAACTTTAAAGTTACACCAAATATGACAAAATTCAGTATCAGAATCGTCTTCAAATGGAAAAAGTTAAAGCAATCCCGCTCTGCGAACATCTGTTTTTCCTTGGCCAAAACATTCTATTGACCGAATTTCTTTTCATTCTTTCAAGAAACATTTTATCATTGGTACTTTGATATTTGGATTTATGTGTATCTCCTAGTTTTAAAATATTTTCTATTTTTAAAAAAATCCCATTAAAAAACACAACTGAAAGAGTTAACACTCTTAGAAACTCTAGGTCTACTTTAACTTCTCTAACTAAATATTAATGAATAAAAACCGTAACAAAGTGCTTCTTATGTTAGGCAAGGCGGCCATGAAGAGAGGACTTAACTTTGGCAAAATACTCAAACCACACACAAGCAGCTGTAGAGTAACCTGCCTCTACACCACGAAGAGCCTTACCAAACAGGTTTCTCAGACATATTTTTGACCCACTTTACCAATATTACTTTATCTGTTATCATTATTTCATTATCTTTTATTAAAAAATAAATTTGAAAGAGTAAAACTGTATGGTGGTAAAATAATTCTGAATTAAAGTTTCCTACTTAAAAACTAACACACAGAGCTACATTTTGTTACAGGGTCGATTAGAATTATTGCTATTAACAATGCATATTAAATAAAACAAAGGGAAAGTGATATAGCTCTAAATGCTATCTGGCTGGAAATTAATAAAGCGTGTAACACAGACTCGCGGTATGAAGTAACGTAAGAGAACAGCAGGCCACACACACTCAGTTAGGAGGGGCTCAGCCTTAGACCCATCAGGGATGCACCACTTCTGCCATGTGAAAAAAATGCACAGAAAGACACAAAAACAAAATACACTTATTACTTTCAGCATGTTAAAAATAATCACATCAAAAAATGTATACAGGTAAAAAATGTCATAGATGACATAAGAAAATAGTGCTTGTGTGTATATATATATTTTGCATATATATATATATATAAATCTACAGTATTTACCACGTTGATACATATTCTGGAGCAGCTCCGATACTGCTATAATAAACTAAATTGTACAGCTTGTATATTATAAGTCACAGAATCATGGTTCAATAATATCCTCAGCTACATTTTTACATACATTTATTTCTCAGCTTCCACATGATCTAAATCACGAGCCTGGTAGTTCTACCAGGGTTTTGTTTGGGCTTCAGTGTAGTGTTCACTTTAATACACTGCGTTTGTTTGCCATTTAATAACATCATTACCAAGTTGATTAAAATGACATTAGACTCATTATATACATAAAAAATATTGTCACATTCGCTAGCTAAACAAATGTTACTTTCCTTGTAACTGACATACTTTTTTGTACCTTGAAAGCTTAACGCCCCAACTTGCAACAAGAAGAACCACCCATGTGGTTTTCTACTCTCTAGTATTCAAACGCCAGCTAAGGACTGTTGAGCAGGCTCCCCAGGTAAACATCAAGTCATACTTTCTAGGAGTGCCCAAAATTTCATCAGTGTTTTGGTAGTTGTAGTGTAATGGAATATTTTAAAAGATAATAATAATTTTATTTTTTACCATGAACCTGAATTATTTTCAAAACCCTTTTTCTACTTTCAAAAGCATGAAAGTAACACTGTATTTTTTAAAAAGATCAAAATCCTAAACTCCTACTAACAATCAGGATCATTTTTAATGGTTTTTACATGGATAATTCAATGGCCCGATTAAGAACAGTAAAATCCACTGGCTACACTCTCTAAAGCCAGCCAGGAGAGGATCACGCACCTGACCACCGGGGAGCAGAGCTGAGCACTGTCAGTCCTGCTTCCAGGTGCATTTCAGAGTGGGCACCCCTGAGAGCGCTGGGCCATCACCATGTTGCAGCTTCTCCTGCAACCCCTGGAGAGCAAGCCCAAGCCTGCCTTTGCATCTGGCTGGGACCAGCCTGAGCTCCACAGCAGTCGGACCAGAACCAAGGCCACAAGAGCACTAGACTGGTCTGGTAAACAGACGTGAGGAGCCTACACCTCCCGCCATAAGATTCCTTTGAAGCACCATAAAGTGGTTAGCCTTTCTCTCCAATGTTTTTCATTTTTAGATTCAAAGAAAAAGGCAGCAACTGCAGGAGAACAAGGAGCATTCTGTGAGATGCTGAGTTAATAGAGTCAGGGAAAGTCTTTAGTCAGTTTAGGACCTAGATTAAAAATGTGAAAGCAAATAAAACTGGACTGAAAGACATATTAAGGAAAAAGAATAACATATTATTCCATGGACTGGATAAAAAATAGTTTTTAAAAAACATTTCTTTAGTTCTGTGTTCAATTGTGTGGGCACAGATGCCTATGACAGATTAAAGGACATTTACACTACACATAGCCTTAAAAATATCTATTCTAGAGATTTTCAGTACTTTGTAACATTAGTCAAAATAGAATGGGCCAACCGAGTACAAATGTCCAGGGTTTGGAGAAAGGTATCAATGGAGCTGAGTAATAAATAACTGCTGGGCGTGCATCCCTAAATGCTATTGCTGTGTTTCAGGGTAAACCCTGTTAACAGGGCCAGTGATGATGTAATTTAAAGGGATGGAGACATTTCCATATATTCTTACCACTAACCGACACCAGGGTTGTGCGAGTCGTTTACCATAGTAGAAAATACTGCTTTGGCAATTACAGACATAGCAATGTAGGTCACGTGTGGTTTCTATTCTCGTCTTCAGCAAGTATAGCCCAATTCTCACAGCAACACTGACTCCTGAATAGAAAGCCCGTCCCGGTTTCTGTAGTGGTAGACTGGAGGTGGGGGCCCTGAATACTGATACCCAGAAGGACCGGCACCCTCCACCGCCGGGGAAGGTCTATACCGCACCGGACCGTCCACCGAGACGGCCGGTAGGCCGTGGTCCTGGAAGGGGACATGCTGGAAGGCTGCGTATCTGGGCACGTTGCTGCGGCCAGCATCCGGAGTCCGGGACGGTCCGTGCACCTCGGGTCTGCACGTGTAACTAACTTCTGGCCACTTTCTGGTATCTGGCAAGTAATCCACTGGAGGAAAGATGAGCTGCCCGTTCTTTGGTGACCCTGAATTGCCCGAATACCCCCCAGCACCAAGATCAACAGGAAGGACTTCTATTCGACTAGACGGCAGGACGAGAGGCGCCGGGCGGCCGTAGGCCTTCTCAGGAGAAATGTCCACCGAAAGAGAGGAGCCGTAAGGCCTCCAGGAGGGGTGCCCGTGAGCCCCGGGGCTGAGCTGGGGCACCGCGGGGAAGCGCTGGGGGGACCCTCCGCGGGGAGCGGCGGCGCTGCCGTAGGCGGGCGGGCGCGGGCCTCGGGCCTCCCCGTCCAGCGGGGCTGGGCGCCGGGCGGGCCCCGGGGGCTGCACTTTGAAGGTGAACCGGTTAGGCACTCGGAGCGGGCTGGGGCTGGGCTCGGCCAGCCTCCTCGGGCTCCTGGGGCTCTGAGAGTAGGCCCTGTCCAGCGCCTCCTCCACGGGCGCGCTGCCGTCGGCGTCCTGGCCGGGTGCGCTGTCGCCCGGCACGTTGTCGTATTGCGAGGCGGTGGAGCCCCGCTTCCCGTCCGGGTCCGGAGCCTGCGCGGGGCCCGGGCCGGCGGCCGAGAGCGCGGGGCGGCCCCTGCCCTCTGCAGCGTGCCGGGCAGCTCTGTCCACGGTCAATTCCGACGGCTTATTCCACTTGGGCACGAACTCCCTCCGGCCCATGGAGGTGGCGTTGCTGTTTTGGTTAGCAGCTGCGTGATTGGACTGCCTGGAAGGGTCCTGTGCACCGGACGGGGGTTTCCTCTGAAGATCTGCCTCTTCCTTGGGCTTTTTGGTCTCCTCCTCCACCGACTTCCGTCTGGGCTGCTTCCCTCGCTCCGGGGTCCCAGCCTTGCTTTGGTGGCGAGGGGACTGCTCCTCCTTCTTAGGCAACGCCTCGCTCTCTCTCCTGCCACCCACGTGGGGACTCGGCCTGCCCACGGTTCTCTGTCCGTTGCTCAGGTGACTGACGCCACCATAATGGATTTCAGGTGGAAGCTGCCCCAGAGGTTTCTTTGGGTACTCATCCTCTTTACCTAAAGAGAAAGGAATTCGTAAGTAAAATAATGAGGAAACAGTATCCAAATGAGATGCACTTTTAATAATTACGTATTTTGCACGTGTGCATGGACATTCATACACTTTCATACTACAGAATTTTAGTGGCTGATGGAATTATCCATCTTTTAAAGCTGGACACTAAAACACAACCAAAACTTAAAAGCGCCCAGGTGCCGTGGCTCACGCCTGTAATCCCAGCATTCCGGGAGGCGAGGCGGGCGGATCGCCTGAGCTGAGAAGTTCCAGACCAGCCTGAGCCAGAGGGAGGAGACCTCGTTTCTAAAAACTAGCAGACATTGTGGCCGGCGCCTGCAGGCCAAGCTACTCGGGAGGCTGAGGCAGGAGGACTGCTTGAGCCCAGGAGTTTGAAGTTGCTGTGAGCTGTGACGCCATAGCACTCTACCAGGGTGACAAAGCCTTTTTTTTTTTTAAATTAAATCATAGCAGTGTACATTAATGCAATTATGGGGTATAATGTGCTGGTTTTATATGCCATTTGAAATATTTTCATCAAACTGGTTAACATAGCCTTCACTGCATTTTCTTGGTTATTGTGTTAAGACATTTATACTCTACACTTAGTAAACAAAACAAAAAAACAAAACAAAAACCCCTCAAAACCTTACTATGTGTGGATGGGGGTATTGTGTAAACCTATGGGCAAGTTCCATGCGTTTGTGTAACCCATGCTTCTTATTTTGCTAAGAGGTATTTATTACATGCTTTTCTAAGAATGCAAAGCTGGTACTATTCTTGTTTCTCTTCCTCCCTAATGCAATCCTGCAGGGCACCAGCTCAGCGTCTTAACATATTTGGAATAAGCTTTACATGTGTTTCTCTAAAATGACACATCATTTTATGTTCTGGATAGAAGAGGACATTCGTATCATACAAATATCTAACACATCTGCTAAAATACAAACTAACTTCTCTGAATTTTCGGTCAGATTGTGTTTATTTTCCTCCTGCCTCAACTACAATGGTTTTGAAATTTCAGTAAAACTTTTCCTGCCAACTTTAAGCAGGTTTGCCAAATTTAAACATCAACTTCTAACTGTGGTTTCAAAGTTATCCCCAAATAGATTCTTATTCTTAAGTGCCTCCCACAGTATAATTTCCCCTGAAAAGATAAAAAGTGCTCTCTATCTGAAAATTAACATTCTAAAATGATCCTACTTTAAATGCAAAAAAGAATCAGAAAAATAAAGAAAAATCATATGGGATACTGTTAGTTTTATATTTTAAATAATTAACAGAAAATTCATGAGGAATTGAAGGACAGTTAACTGTTCATTTAGGAAATTATCTATTATAATATATGTAACTAATAAATATCTTGAAAAAAACAATAGACTTTACTTACTAAAACTCTATGCTTTTAACCTGTTATTACAAAATAATGTATTATCATTTAAAAATTAGTTTTTGCAGGCTGAGTGGGGTGGCTTACGCCTATAACTCTGGGAAGCCAAGGTAGGTGGACTGCTTAAGCTCATGAGTTCAAGACCAGCCTGAACAAGAGAGAGACCTCATCTCTAAAAACACAGCCAGGCATTGTAGTGGACACCTGTAGTCCCAGCTACTAGGGAGGCCACAGTAAGTGAATCACTTGAGCCCAGGAGTTTGAGGTTGCTGTGAGCTATGTATGACACCAAGGCATGCTACCACGGCACTCTACCAAGGGTGACAAAGTGAAACTCTGTCTTTAAATTAATTAATTAAAAATAAGTTTTTGCTCTCTTAAAATATCCATCCATCCATCTGTCCCACAAATATCCACTAAGTACGCCGTGTCAGGCACCATGCTCCCCCACAGTCCTTTCATGGTACAAGGTGAGTGCACAGACCCAGCCTTTGTTTCTCCATAGCCCACAGTCTTGGCAATGATGCCACTGCTATTAATCCATATAATACAATTTCTTTAGTTTTTTTTTTTTTTTTTGCGTGTAGTTTTTGGCCGGGGCTAGGTTTGAACCCACCACCTCCGGTATGTGGGGCCAGCGCCCTACTCCTTTCAGCCACAGGCACCACCCCGGTATATTTTGAAAAAATACTCAATGATCTTTTTTGGGAGAGGGGATTATCCTTTAAATGATTAAACTATGAAGATCAAAATAATTGAGCTAAAGGCACCACCTGTACCTCAGCGGCTAGAGCACTGTCCACATACACTGAGGCTGGCGGGTATGAACCCGGCCCAGGCCTGCCAAACAACGACTACAATCAAAAAATAGAGTTGTGCTGGGTGTTGTGCCTTGGTGTCATAGCTCACAGCAACCTCAAACTCCAGGGCTCAAGTGATTCACTTACAGGCATTGTGCTGGGCGCCTGCAGTCCCAGCTACTTGGGAGGCTGAGGCCAGAGAATAGCTTAAGCCCAAGAGTTTGAGGTTGCTGTGAGCTATGACGCCATGGCACTCTACTGAGGGTGATGTAGTGAGACTCTGTCTCAAAAAAAAAAAAAAAAGCTCAAAATAACCTTTGCTCTCCTAAATCAGTGCTTTTTAAACTTATAAAGAGCAGACACTTTTTTCAAGACAAATTTCAACCCTAATATATGAAGAATATACAGAAAGCTGCTCTGTAGAGATAGTTGGTCCAGAGAGCTCTGGTGCTGCCTACATTATCTAGGTGGGGAAGCAAGTCTCAGGGCAGCCCAGTGATCTTGCAGCAGCAGGAACTGAATGAAAACCCAGCATTTTCGCTCCCAGTTCACTGTTCACTTCCACTGTACCATTTTCATAAAACCTCAAAACAACTGTTGATAGTCTGAACTGAATTTAATGTTACTTTGACAATATTTATGTAAGTTCTTTATCTGACATATTTGAAAGCACAAAAAGAATTATAATTGGTCATTACGGTTTGTTTGGCTGACTTATCCACTCAACAAACACACGAGGCACTTGCTGTGCCCCAGGCACTGATCTCAGTGCTGGCACCACGAGTCTGAAAGGAGGCAGGTGAAGTCCCTGTCCTTCTGGAGCTTACATTCTAGCTGTGCACAGGGCTACAAAGAAAGGAAAGCAGGAAAAGCGATTAAAACGATGGGGAGCACCGCCGGGCAGAGCAAGGAAGATGCCAGCAAGAACAAAGGCCTGGCGCTGGGGACAGGCAGAGGCACACACACAGATTGCTGTGAGCAATCTGGATTTTATTCCAAACTAACTGCAAAATCCTAGAGGCTTTTCAGCAGGAGAGTTACATAATCTAATGTAAAGGTCACTTGAAGTGGAGGGTTGGATTTACATTGTGGCAGCAATTAACCATGATAACACAAATGGCTGATTCTCACTAAGCACTCAGCACATGTCAGCCACAGCTCAAAAAGCCGTACCTACAACATCAGCAACCGGCAGACAGTGTAAGATCCTGCTGTTTTACTCATTCTATAGATAAGAAAACAGAGGTAGAAGTTAACGTCCCAAAGGCACACGGCTGGTAAGATGCGGGATGTAAGCCCTGAGTTGGTCCCGGACCCTCACTCTTCACCCCTACAATACACTGTGGTGGGAGGAGGCAGGAGAGGTTGCTTATGGGGCATTTTTCAGGAATTCTGTGCACTTGCTCAGAGTGGGGGGTTGGATGAGCTGGGTGGGAACAAGCCGAGTGAAGCATGACTCCTGGTTAAAGACAGCCACAGGCAGACACTATTCCATGACAGCTGGCGTGACCACCGCTGTCCTTGTATCCTTTTGTGAGAAAGATGTTTTACGATACCTGGACAAACTATTTTAATTAAAAACCCAAACTTTAAAAAGGCTATCACTGAGAAAAGTTTTCTTGGCTTTATGAATGTTGTCCATGACATGTGCATTCCAGTTTAGCTTCTGACTGGTCAGCGTGTGAAATGTGTGGTCTGGAGAAGGCTGACCAAAATATTCGGAAGTAGCTGTTCAGCCCATCAAGTCAAAAAACAAGCAGCAGAAATAGAATTAAAATCTACTTAGTACCCTCAAAGTTTTTAAATCAACTTCATAGTCATCCATTTGGTCCCAAATATATGAGTATATGTAGGGAAATAATTGCAACAAACATGAACTATCCAGAAGCTATAAAGACCTACATAACAGAACGGAATTTATAAGCTTTCTTTTTGTCCCCACTGCCCCACAGTTTTCTAAGGGCAGAACACAGTAAGCTGACTGGCTGATACAAGATAATATCAACAGCCAATCATCAACACATCCTCTTCAGGTTAGCAAATAGGAATCTGATGGGAAAACCCAGCCATTAAAAACGGGAGGAGAACCACTGAGCCAGAGTGTTCTCTCGCGCTTGTCAGTTGGGCACGAAGCTGGCCTGGCCCTCCACTGGGCACTCACTTCCGGCAGCCTGCTGAGGCCACCAACTTTTTAGTTCACATGAAAAGATTTTAAATGTTTTTAAAATTCTCTGTAACAATATAAAAAGAGGGGGTGGGTACAGTGGCTCACGCCTGTAGTCCCAGCACTCTGGGAGGCTAAGAGGAGTGGATTGCTTGAGCTCAGGAGTTTGAGACCAGCCTGAGCAAGAGTAAGAACCCATCTCTAAAACTAGCCAGATGTTGTGGTGGGCGCCTGTAGTCCCAGCTACTCGGGAGGCTGAGGAAAGAGGATCACTTGAACCCAAAAGTTTGAGGTTGCTGTGAGCCATGATGCCAGGGTACTCTACCTAAGGCAACAGAATGAGACTCAGTCTCAAAAAAAAAAAGCATGGGGGAGAGATTTCCAGCTGCACTTCTGTTGTGCCTCAGATGTACTCCCCCAAACTCTGTCTGCAGAAGCCATGCTGCTCCCAGCCCAGCGCACACGCCCAGCCTGTCTGCCAGCTTTAGTCCGTGTCAGTTCCAGGTCCTGAAAACTCCAGCCGTTTGGTATTAGGTGTTTCTAAGGGTGGCTACCCTTAGGTCTGCATCCTAAATCTCAAAGTTGATTTGCTTTACTAAACACAAATTCCACAGACTGCCCTTTTCTATTATAAAAAAGTCACATATT